CAATCATTAACGGCCTTTCAAGCAAAATCTACCAATTATTGACAAGAAAATAGAGCGTAAAAACTTACATTAACTTAGCGAGTTTATAAAGTATGGCCCCTGAGGCTTAACTAAATTACTTGCGGAAGTGTCGTGTCGCCCGAGATAAACGCATCGAGTATTTCTTTAACTAATTACCCATTGCCTCTGGCGGTCAAACAAACGCACTATCTTTATATATTCAGTTCACACTATCTTTATCTATTAGAATTTCAAAAACTGTGAACATTTGAGTTATTTGGATTAAAATTTTTTGGTGAGTTCGCAAGCCAGCTGCACTGACGGAAGGCAATACCACAATCTTCGACTTCAAATTGGTTGGAGTGACAGTAACAACAATTACTATTAATAACAAATAATAGTAAAAACAATATTTGAGCGAGCATCAGTGGTTCTGGCCAGGATGCAAAACAATTGAAGCAGATCTTGCAACAAGTGATATCATAGGCCTATCCAACTAGGTGACTTGCTGACTATCCAACTAGGTGACTTGCTGACTATCCAACTAGGTGACTTGCTGACTATCCAACTAGGTGACTTGCTGNGCTGACTAACCAACTAGGTGACTCACCGTGACTGGCTGACTAACCAACTAGGTGACTTGCTGGCTAGCTCTCCAGCCGATTAATTGACCAGCTGTTGAAGAAGAACAGCAACTGGATCGCTGGACCGCTGTGCCAAATTTGTCTTCCAGCCATGTTTCGTACTAACTTTCATCACGTGTCACTATGCGGTTATTGACAGAGGACGAAATTAAAATCGGGAGCCTTCGTTGCGTTTTGCGATCGCCATCGCTATTATCGATCGCCATCGCGATTATAATCGCCATCGTTGCGATTATCCAAATTATTATTATTATCAGTTATTATCAAATAATTTATCAAGTTTATAAATTTGTCGTGACTAAAACACAAGGCAATGCGTAAACGAATGATAGAAACATTATAACCGTCATGTCACGATAACTGCTTCTTCTCAGATGTGATGAAACCATCACTACTTCTATCGAATGAAATTATTTTTGGGGGGAAATTCTGATGGTGTTATTGGCGCAAGCCTGCTTATAGACGAAGACGTCAATTCAAACTAATTACCCCAACTAACCTGTCATGCGACGGTTCGTTCCAACCACGGTTCGTTGCACTTATTTCAGGTCAACAGGGTAACCGACAGAGAATAAGGACAATCAATGCGTAATTTTCATTCAAATTAACAGAGTGCGTGTAAGTTGAAGCGTGGTCAAGAGTTCGGATCAAGATTTGGAGGTCTCTCTGTATGAGATAAAACTATTACAGACACTGAACATACACAATAAGTCATGTCTAAAACTAAATCATAAAAACTAAGAAGGCCTTTTCACACATCTATAGCTATACGGATTGACATCACACTAATATATTCCAGGTCACAATGAAGCACATAATATTGGTCGTATTTAAAAATATCAAATTATCCCGTGCACAGTACACTGTACACACACCTATCCCGTATGGTGGCGCAGGTCGAGTGATCCTATAAAGCTACAACTATTCCGCAATACAGAGTGGATCCGGCAACATCGCACGGAAGTCTAAAGCCTTTTTATTAAAAAGAATATCAATGTAAAAGACATCTATAAAAGTTGCATTTCCCTCCTCTACAATGTAAAGTTAAGCAAGTTAAGAAAGAAAGTTAAAGAAAGGCAAGAATAATGAACAGCAAGATTACAGTATCAGAAGACACGGTTGCAACGACAGATTGATGATATCGAAGTCGACAATGGATAAAGATTTAGGAGTTAATATCGACAATGAGTTGAAATTTTCTAAGCATTTTGAAGGTCGAGTTAATAAAGCCAATAAACGACTTGGACTGATCAGACGCTCTTTCGAGTTCCTAGATGCAGAAGCGATGAAGTAGTTGTTTGTTGCTGTCGTGCGCCCGAACCTAGAGTTTGGAAGCGACCTGTGGTCACCGAAATTTGAGATAGACAAAAAAATTAATAGAGCGTGTTCAAAGACGCGTAACAAGGATAATTCCGGGTTTGGAAGGCAAGTCATATGAGGAAAAATTAAAGATTATGAAACTTCCAAACCTCAGTTATCGACGTCTGCGTGGGGACCTTATTGAAGCATACAAGTATACATACTCATGGCTTATACAGGTCCCAGAAGGATTACTAGAATTTGAAACAAGAACCAATACCAGGGACCACGGCTATAAACTAGAAAAAACTGCGTTGTAACACATCCATACGACAAAATTTCCTTTCGCTTCGAGTCATCGACATGTGGAACTGCCTCCATCATAGCATCGTTGACGATCCGAGTATGAACGCCTTCAAGACAAGACTATACGAGGCTATGCAGGAGCAAATGTTCAGTTTAAAATGCCTAGCAACTTACGGACCAGCAATAATTAAGTCCAGCAGCTATCTTAATCAATCGTCAGTTATGGAAAGATCGGGTTCCAAAGGCCGGATCCCTTGTGAATCCAGTCACGAAAAGTTAAGGAATCGGCAACAGGCCATGGGCCTATTTCTTCAATGCCGACACTTCTATTCTATAAACCATGTGTATACTTGCATACTTCAATAAGGTTCCCACGCAGACGTCGATAACTGTTGCTTGGAAGCTTCCTAATCTTTAATATTTCTTCATAGGACTTGCCCTTCAAGGCTGGAATTATCCTTGCTGCACGTCTTTGAGCATTCTATATTAAAATTTTGTCCTTTTCAAATCTCGATGACCACAAAACGTTTCCAAACTCTAGATTCGGGCGCACGACAGCAACTAACAACTGCTTCATCGCTTCTGCATCTGGGAACTCGCATGAGCGCCTGATCATTCCAAGAAGTTTTTTGGATGTATTAGCTTTCGTTTCAACATGTTTAGAAAATTTAAGCTCCTTGTCGACATAAACTCCGAGATCTTTTTCCACACTAGACTTTTCAATCATTACTCTCTCGTTGCAACTACGTTTTCTCATACCTATCTCTTGCTGTTCATTGTTCTTCCCGAGGTAAAGTACTATACAGTTGTCGGCATTAAAACGCAGCTGCCACGTATCAGCCCATTTAACCAATTTGTCATGATCATCTTGCAATTGCGCTTTATTTGACGCAACCTTCAATGTATTATAAACTTTTGTGTCGTCGGCATACATGGAGCACACGCTGGACACTACTTCTGGCAGATCGTTTATAGAAGCAACGAACAAAATAGGCCTAGTAACGCTTCCCTGTGGCACGCCACTGCGCACTGATGCCCAGTCTGACACTGTTCCGTTAATACTGACACGTTGTCGTCTACCTACTAGAAAATCTCTGATCCATTGGAGTACGTTTCCTTCAGTTCCCAAAGACTTCGTTTTACGCAACAGCCGCTCATGCGGAACACTGTCAAATGCTGTGGGAAAAATCGAGGTACAATGCATCCACTGGCTCCCTTTCGTTTAGCAGGCGAGTCCAATCGTTCAACGTGGTAGAACTTTAGAAGCCGTCCGGTCCACATGACTTGTTGGGATTTAGAGCTACCAGGCGCTTGAGAACCTCTTCTTCGTGTATTTCAAAACCTCAATATCTGGAATACTGTTCAAGTCCTCATCTGTGAACACACTGCTGAAGAATTGATTAAGAACGTTATAGCCTTGCCCTCGTCAGAGGAAATTTTCCGTTGGTCTACTTTCAAATCAGATATACCGTCCTTTGTCTTGCACTTGGAACTAGCGTACAAAAAGAAGGCCCTCGGGTTCTTTTTTGTAGTTTTGGCAATATTTTCTCGAAGTTTTTCACTGCAGTGTGATAGACTTTTTTTAGCTTGATTTCGAGCTCTTGCATACAGGTTATAATCAGAAACGCAGCGAGTCCGTAATTAACGCTTGTATGTATGCTTCCTATTGTTCATCCACTGGGATTTTTTTTATTCCTCCAAGCGTAATCTTGGGTACACAGGCATCAACTGCTGGCATAACCTTGTCTTTGAGAAATGACATGACTCAGCCACATTCATGTCCTTAATACAGTCCGAAATATTCGCCGCATTCACCGTTTCACGGAGTGTATCATAGTCTCCTTCGCAAAGTTCAAACGTTCTCGCTTCTGAAGCGTCTTATCTGCACAACACTTGATACTGGAAAGCAATGACTGGTGGTGGCTTTTGCCCAACGGAGCCTCGTGGCGAAGCTCATCTATCATTGATTCTTCACTAGTAAACACAAGATCTAGAATATTTGAGGTCTGTTTATCCCTATAATGGGTTGGCTCGATTAAAAATGAGTCTCGCACAGACTCCAACAGGGATGCTGGGTGATTCTCATCTCTTGGATCCACCTGCCCAGTCTATTTCTGGATGGTTAAAGTAACCAACGATCAACGTATGCGATCTGCTGAATGACATGCTCGGTAAAAGGCTGTTTAGTGCTTTATCGTTATCAGAGGAGCTGTTCGGTGATCTGTAAATTACCCTCTTGAGGAAGCTATCTTTGCCTTTTAGAGTAAGTTCGCACCACACTGATTCTCTAGCTGATTGATGCTCTGCCGATAACTTAACTTGCTGGGCGCCATAAGAGGTTCTAACCCACAGAGCTACACCTCTACTGCCCTGCTCTTCATTTTAGTTAGAAAAACGATGCAAAACCTGGCAACTGAAATTCAACAGGTACAATTTTTCCTCCGTGATTTTTAAAGAGTGTTTCTGTAATACAAATAATGTCTATACGCCCGTTTGCGATCACATTTAAAAGTTCACTTTTTTTTGTTCAAAACGGTATCAGAGTTCGCGTAAAAACATTTTAAAGCTTTTTGCTTTCACTTTGATGTATGTTGGACACACTCGACGTAATGCCTCACGCGGTCACAAAATCAATGTTCAAGGAAATATTCTCTACCAGAGGCGCTCGTCCAATACTTCTTGCCTAACGTGAATTCTGCGTTACAGCAGATTCCTAGATTTGCTCTAGTGCAATTTAGGAAAAAAATAGAATTTTGCGGTGAATTTATTTTGCTAGGATCAGGCATTGACGGAAAATCACCACAAAAACAACACCTTCAATACTTTCCATTGGAGATAGAGCACTGCATTTCGTTATGATCAACTGCATGGTCATAACGACAGGTCAGCATAAATACTTCTTAAGGAATGATTTTAATTGGTGAAGAATACCGCATGGTTTCAGTTGAACAATTATAGGATCATACGTTCAACCATAAGAAGATACAATGTGTAAGGTGTAAGAAAAGTGTATGATAGTCAAAGATAGTAAAGTTTCTAGGAGTATATGCGAACTCTCAAAAAAAGTTATCCGCGGTTAAAAATGAAACACGATGCACAGCAACTCCATGATGACTTCTTAAGTTTTGAATTAAAAACGGGTGTAGGATGTACATTCATAAGTCTACCTAAATGAAGTCAGGAAACTGGCATCAGATCCATATTTAAATACGCAAAAACGGAATGATATTCCGAAGTTCCGAGTTTCTGTAGCCTCGGGATGTAAAAATAGTAAAACAAGACACAAAAAATGAGTGGATATTTAAACAGAAGCACCATGACGGAACGTCCCACAATAGGAGTAATAAGATAACCTAATCCTAGCCATGGTCATCGTGGGCGTGCCTTCATCATGGCAAGCAGGGCGTCGTATGACCCCATGGACTGGTCGCTCGCACCACCCACAGCAGGCTGGGCGTCTGAAATAGCAACGTCTTTATCACGGTGGTGAATATGAAACTTGCATATTACATGAAAAATCACTTAAGAAATAGAGATGATTTATTTAGTCGAAATAGTTTTGTAATCTTTAGCAATTGAAAAGTAGCTGTTAGATGTATGGTCTTCACTGAATTACGATGCCGCATGAGAATTCATTTGTTAAGGTGTTCTCTATGAGCATGAGAATTGATGGAAGATCCAGAAGACGCGTCAACACGAACTAACCAATCATGTGCATTAATGGAACTGAACATTTGATACAAAACTGCCTTGGACCATCAGACGTAAATTAACGCGAGTTATATTACAGTCTCAGCTCGCTGCATTTTCCGAAGGCTGCACAACCTTCATTGAGATAATTAACTACTCTACATGTGACTACATCACATAATTAGAGAAACTAAAGCCTAAAGGCGATATGAAATTAACAGTAAGAAAGAACTATGCCTTACCAAGGTCTTTGTACTGTTGTCGACAAAACTGGCGTCGTCCTCCAAAACACAAGTCGAACTGTAACGCTTCTCCCTTATTACCGTTCTCGATGGCACGGTTCGCTTCTGTGCTGTTCATGAACGTTACAAAGCCGTAGTTGTCCCTGATCAAATTAAAATCTTTCAAGAAAGCTGGAGTTTTGAGCATCAGTGGTCCCAGTTTCATAAAACATTTGCAACCAGGCTTTCAAAGTAAATTAACATTATTACATTCAACCAAAAAATCATGTGTTGGGAAATTGTTCAATTACCATGCCGCTCCATTTTTCATGATAAACCAAACGAGTATAAAGGCAGAAAAATTTGTCACAAAATTTGCCTCAGATAATATTCACTCAGAACCCGTGACATTATATTATATTCCAAATAATTAATTATGAACTGGAACTAAATAATGCCATCAATAGTGCATTCACAATAAAGATCAATAAATTAAAGAATCAATGTCCATCCATTCGTCTACGGACATGATAACCAACCTCGATGCTATATTTGTTCAATAATCAGGCAACTCTAGTTATAGCGCTGGTAGGCAGAGTATGAAGTTTCAACTCGTTTCCACAAATCAAATAGCGATATGTTCCTCATTGATAGTTTAACAGAAGCGTTTATCAGAACTTGGAATGACAGCTCATGTTCGTGTGAGATTAAATCAACTATACCGATATCAATGACTCACACTGTCACCAAATATGCATACGAATATTCATATTAAATCGAACATATGACACCTTCATTTTTTTCAAAAAGGCTAAAAAAAGACGGCCTAAAATATCGTTGAACAATCTATTCTAATGGAAGAAAGTAACCTTCATGAATGCGATGGAAATGAACAAGTCAAGGCTACATAGAAAACTCACCCCCTGTCTCTGAAGTGCAGGCTCACGTTGGTGATCGTCCCGAACTTCTTGAAGCGTTCCCTCAGACTGTCCTTGGTAGTGTCCTCAGGAATACGTCCTACGTACACCACCAACCGTTCCTCCACCTCTTTCATTCGCAGCGCTTGCTGTTAAACATAACAAATTTAGGCCTTCTGCTAGGAAATAATAAATACAGAAAAGATTACTCTACTAGGAAATAATAAATGCAGAAAAGATTACTCTAAACATTACGTCTATCTAGTTTCAAGCAAAATTTCAAACGAAATTAACTGGAGCGTGTGGGGCCACAATGTGGAAGGAATAGTTGCGCTGGATGAAGCTGAAGACGATGAACATTTATTTGAATAAAGATGACATTGACTATAAATTACTACAATTTTGCAACAAACGTTACCCATGAAAAATTCGATTAAAATGTCAATACGTGGCGCCCATAATCACTATGAACACTGCTTTATATGGTTCTTGTAAAGTTTCGGTTTATGTCCTCAGGTTCGTAAAAACAAAATTAATCAAACAAAGGATCACAGGGAAGTAATGAGAAGCCTGCTAACGAAGCTCGATCAGTAGGTGTAGTAGACATTTACCTAAGCGTTCACATCGATGTTCAAGGAACAGTGTCTATAGCTAACACTATAGACGCGCTAACACTAGTGTTAGCTATGATGCTAGCTAACTATAGCTAGCATCATTGAACTCTAATTATTTGAAGCTTTTCATCCAGTCACACGCACAGAAAACATGCTATTCTCACAACTCCGTCATACCAACGCCTTCATAAATGATACGGAATTCCCGACCCGACAGTGAACTGAATGTCAACACGAGAGTTAAGATATAACTGTTAAAAATGTAGGCGTTTCAACACACGGCATCTGGTGCACTGACCTTCCTCGATCAATTAAATGGTTTACAATTAAAAATCTGGAGAAAAGTTATGAGAAATTAGCTTGAAAAATTAAATGGTAATCTAAATATTATACGTACGTATATCTAACATGAAACAATAGTTACCTCGGCGGATGAAATAGGCCGAGCAGTTCTAGCGTATGATGAAGCTTCATACTCAGCGTGTCTACCAGGCGCGTAGGGGGCGCAGTAGTCAGCCGAGTACCCGAAATATGGCTGAGCAGCAGAGTATGGGTATGAAGGAGACGTCGGGTACATATGAGGAGGCATTTGATGGTGGAATTGTGGATGCATGTAATAGTTCTGAAGCTCTGGAGTTCGGTAGTTGATATCGCTCTGAAAATGTTGACAAGAAGGCAAGTGACCCACGAATTTTGGGTCACCGCCACCACAGGCACAACCGACTCTGTACACCGTGTTGGGGGAGAAGGAACGCGACCTGGACCGGCTGTACCTTGCGCGCTTGTTTGAGCGCTTCTTGTTCTTGTAGCGGTCGTAAGAGGACGAGCGAGAGCGCGACTTGGACGGCGACAAAGAATACCGGTGGCGGCGATGACGACGGCCTTGTGACGATGAGCGCGACCGTCCTGATGAACTTCTGGAACGCTTGCGATCTCTTCGTCGACTTTTGTGTCTATTTAAAGGAAACACGAGAAGATATATTATTGGATACTACGTTAGAAATTTAAAAAGAAACTAGATTTTTTGCGTTATATTCCAAAGCGTCACGCACCTCTACAATGAGCTTTTTGTGCTTGGAAAAAATGGTCAGCAGCATCGATAAACTTTCAATCGAACAGGGACAGAAGCATACGTATTATCTTCCACCAAGATCAGTTTTTTGACGATCACACGCTATATCATTAATCAACTACGGTATCTCTGCTCAATAAGGAAGATTTCGTTACAAGGTAAATCAATATATCAATGTATTGACCGAGAAAAGTGGAGAAATCTTAATATCTTTCCTCAGTTTCAAGACAGAAACGATACAACAACAACGTACTAATATCTAAGTTCATCGCACGTACGACTGTATTTAGAAACCTTCGAATATAATTTGAAGAGACACTTGGGGGAAAAAAGTTCATTCCCAAAACGCCGCGATCTCACCAATTCGCCGCCTCACGGAACTCAAACTCACCTGCTACGCGATCGTTTGGCGCGCTTTTTTCTGCGCGGAACAGGAGACATGGTGAGCGACGACCGAGCGCGTTTACGACGCCGAGTCGTTCGGACGCGAGAATCACAACTGCTCGTCGACGATGACGATGAAGACTGCGAGCTGGACCGACGACCTCTGTCTAGCTCATTGTTGGAGGAGCGATCAGGGCGCTGTGAGGGCGGGGACGCGTTTGGGTCAATGGGCTGTGTCGTGGCCGAGGACTCGGAACAAGACGAGATCTTGTTAGCAGAGCTCGGAGCAGAGTCACTGTTCACAGTAGCATTACTTTGAGAAGTAAGTAGTCTTTTTTGCGCTCTGCCCGCGGTTTCTTTCTGCGTTGCGGCGGAACTTTTCGGAATAGAATCAGTTACGTTAGAAGGTTTCGTGATTTTAAAAATTCCGTTTTTCGAGATAGTTTCAGTTTTGTTCTTTTCAATTTGTTGCTCAACATTGTTCTGTTTAGCCTCAATTTTTAAACCTGCAGGAGGGCACTTAGAATTACTGTTGGCATGTACAGCACGATTATCTTTGGTACCAGTTTCAGACTTTAAGATTACAGCAGAAGGCGTTTGCTTTCCAGAAACGTCAACTGGAGAAGAGTACGAAGGTATATCTTTCGATAGCATAGACTTGATGTTCGTTATTTTGGGGCGCTGTTGAATTTTTTCACTAGCCTTTTTGACAAGACGTATTTTTGTTTCATGCTTGAAGGCAGGATCAACTGGGAGATTCGAGTTTTCTTCTTCAGCAGCAGATTTAGTGCTCTTACGTTTGAAATAGTCGGACACTTTTATTTTCTTCCTGATGGATTGAACAGTTGTAGGATCGTTGGAGTCTGATCCGCTGTTTATTTGATCGGGTTTGCTACAGCCATCAATGGCGTTCGGTTCACAGGTGTCGTTCACGTTGGCGTCTCTGCCGCAGTCGCTGTCAATGGCAACATGATTTTTGAAGTCAGTAGTAAAATCAGCTGAAAATTCTGATTTTATTTTATTTTCTGGCCCCACGATAACCACTTCAAACGCTGGACTCGCTGATAATTGCCTGCTCCCAATGTTGAGGTGAAGTTTGCCAAGTTGTTCAGGCGGCTTTTCCAGCGTCTCTGTCTGCGACTGTAAAGGTACATTAGTTCTTAGAAATTATATGTAACAACATTAGTTATTACGAATACACGTGGAATGAATGTAGTGTCTCATCAAACAGTTCAAACTAAGGAGCTGTAAGACAATTAAACAAGATCTACGTATGACCGACCACCAACACCAAACTTGAACAATTTCGTCTACAGGTTGTGGAAAAACAATCTGTAATAGTTAATTTGAACATGAGCTTCATTTGGATAAGAGTTGCTTATGTGTAAGCAAGTAGAGTAGTATAAAAAGCGCTTCTTCGCGTCTCGAATCTACAGGTGAGTAAAATCAACTGCTGTTGAAATTCTTGCTGTTATCTTTTATTATTATTATATTATATTATCTTTTATTATTCTGAAACTCGTATGTAGAAAAATTTGTGCAAAATCTCAGAGTGAATTTTCTAAGAATTTCGCTTTAAAATTTGTCAGAATCTCAGAGTGAATTTTCTAAGAATTTCACTTTAAAATTTGTCAGAATATATAACAGAAAAAAATACAAATCTAGTGTGGCAAAAATGCATGGTTACTAATCTGATTGTTTGAAGATTGCAACCTTGCAGAGGTTTAAAGCTAATGTGTGCGGCGAAAAGCTACCCACTTACTTGATCTAGCATGGCAGAGATGACGCTATCATCTGAGAAGATAAAACATTCAAAATTAGTATAACAGAGACAGGCTGAAGTAATGACGTGAGTATCACAGACAGCATTAGGTAATGACGTGAGTATCACAGACAGCATTAGGTAATGACGTGAGTAATCACAGAGAGAATGAAAGGCAATCCCAATTCCTGAGGCGAGAACTATAGGACAAATTACGCAGGACTAATTCATTAAGTCGTCCCAGAGCATCATCATAAAATTAATCTATATTATACATGTGTTAAGAACCACTTTCAGTAAGCGTTCGTGAAGAATGTCTAGTATAAAGTTCAAAAGCATATCCGCGCTTTGAAAAATAAATATACGAATCTGTTGATCTTAGTTTTGAAACTCGAATTCATTTAGCTAGGCACCGCCAAGTTCTCGGGCGATGAGATGAATGTAAGCGGAATAATCATGACCAAAATCATTGTTTATGAGAAAATAATACGCGCAAAACAGGCGCAAAGATAGGGCAAAAAAAATGCAGAGCGTATCATGTCATTAGCAAAGAAACTAAAGCACGCAGAAACGTGAAATTTAAGAACTTGTTGCAGGCTCGTCAATGAACTATACCTCATCGGTCACTCAGTGGGCAGATTAAATATTATTAAAGGGCACTCAAATCAGGCAAATATCGAACGTGCAGGGCACTGCATAAATCTTAGAATGTATCAGTCTGAATATGATGTCTTTTATTCAAAACTCGGTAATTTGGCGAAAAGCATTCAATCTTGAATATTAATCAGGTATTGGACAATAAGGCTGCCATTCCTACGGTACCTACCTATAAGTATTCTGTAAAATTGAAAGGCCAGGAGGCATGAATATATAAAAATGCAAAAAAATTCGGTGAAATGAGCTACCAGAATGCAGCAAACTGAAACTCATAAGTTACGCCAGCTTGTGCTAGTTGTTTAGCTTTGATAAATCTACAGTATTTAATCTATGCCAGAGAAACTTGACTGCAATGCACTCGTTTACTTAAATATTGAGTGAATAAAGTAGGTAATATTGAATGTGTATTATGCATAGATGTTAAGAATGCTAAGAATGCGGCGCAGTTGTTGCGAGACCGTGGGAAGCATCGAACGTTGGCGAGGGAAATTCCATTATAGGAATGTGGCGTTACTTCGAGGGTTAGGCTTAAATGTGCGCGACTCTAGCCTATATAAGGACCGCAGATTTCGCGCCAGTGGTTGGTTATACGGAGGTGGCCGTCACGCACGTACGGTCTGCAGTCAGCGGACACAATGGCCGCGGCCGTGAGGCCGGCGGTTCGTCGTTTTCGAACATTGACGGTCGCGTATCAAATGCCACTCGGCAGCCTACCTGACAAAACGATAAGTAATGAATACCGGTATCTTGAACCTGAACGTAACGTAAATTTGGTGGAGTAGATCACTCCGATTCACCCAACTTTAAAAGATATGAGACGATAGGAAACGTCTCTCTCTCTATATATAAAATAGATCATTTAAAATCCCTATTTAATCATGAGAACACCCACTAAAAATAATCCTAAAAGTCTCGAGCATAATCACTGAATGTTGTGCTTTAAAGGCATTATTAATTAATAATTAATTAATTAATAATAATGCATTATTAATTATGACTAGCCTTACAGCGATCAGGCTTGAAGCCAACTCAGAGGTCTGTACTCAAATAGTAAAACATATTCATTGATGAAATAAAGATTTTCAACAAGGTAATTAGACTGTAATTAAGTTTTACGACAAACCTCGCAGGACGCATTATCTTACCACGGTCAGGCGAAGAGTGCACTTCCTTCTTCACAGTGTAGGCCTTCTTGAGTGGGCTGGTGCGCGGCGAGTTGACACGAGCTTCATCGCATGGTTCCACCTCGCATTTCACTGCCACAAAAGGTGGGGACTTCACAGCCGTAGAGTTCCAGCATGGAGAGTCTGGTTCAGCTTTGATGCGAATCTGATCCATAGGAGGACAGGCAGCTGTATGTGCCTCCAATACTTCAGGGAATTTTTCCGTTTTCACTTCGACATCGTCGGAGAACAAATTCACATCCAACTGATTTGACTTGACACCGTTGGATGCACTGGAGGGATGTATACTTGGTTTTATGTCCATTATCGGACACATCTCAGAATTGATGGTTTGAACTTCAGTCTTCGCTGGTGCGGCCAGACTAGCAAGTGACGACCTCAAGTCATGAGAGGTAACTGCAGAATTTATTTCCTCAAGCGACATGCACGTGTTGGGGACAGCCACTAAATTGCCTGACGCGTCGATAATGGCCAGTACGACGGAGCCAGGGCGAACATCAGTGCCTGGGACAGGAGATTGTATGGCCGCTGTATCGTCTCTTGTCACAAGCGAGGGAAGTCCATCGGGTCCTGAAATTCCATTAGGCGTCGCCGACAAATCAGCGTGATATCCAGGGCTTGGCCTTGACAACACAGAACTGTTCATTGAAGAGAGGTTTTCGACAGACCTTGAGCTAGATGAAGGCGCGGCGACACTGTTGATTAAAGGTTGAGGAGTTTTTTTTAATGAAATTGGTGGCTGAGGTAAAGAAACTGGCACAATAGGAGCAGCAGAAGAACTGTTTGTCAAGTCATTAGTTTTATGAACACTTTTAGCAGCGCTGGTAGGTGACTCATGACTGAGCTGAACACGAGGAGTGCTTATCACGTCAGACTTTGAAAGAAGCCGTGAATTTGCTGATGATGGAGGATGTGTCACGACATCGGAGAACTGCACCACCACCTCTCCAACAGGGTTGCCGTTGCACCGTAAGTCTTCGAAGGTGCCTGTATAAATTTAATGAGTAAAAGTCATGTTCACTAGATGAGATTAATTTTAGAGCATATTCATTGAACAGAGATCTTATCCTTTTTTTAAGGGATGAAAAGGTAATGGCATGATTGTGAAGTATTAATGCAGTTTGATGACACAAGCTAGTGCAGGCGGCCGAAGCTGGTAAACATTTCTTTTGTACATTTATATATTTTTTTCCAACCGTAGAGGGGCGAGTGGAAATTTAAAAAGCAAAAAATTGCTGAAAATTATTTTTTCTGAACTGGCATGTAAATAGAAAGCGTTGTTTAGCAATCTATTTTGAAACAAAAGTATTCATTGTGCATGGAATGCGGAAGAGTGCTCTCCTAGATTAAGAGCAACAAGAATTGATGGGCACAATAAAACTTGATTTTTTCGGCCTTACGTTATGATTTTAAATGTTTAAGTTCGTACGAGTGCATTAGTTAGGTCTCTTGAATACGATTGTTTACCATAAGATTATGGGTGAAATTGCGCAGCAACAACAAAATTGACATAATGACTTTTTAAAGTAGGTTTGCTACTATTCCTAGGAAGACCATATCGTCTCTTAGTACAAATAATTGGAACTTCGTACGCACAAGCTTACAATTCATTCTCATGGCAACGATAGAAAAATAAACTAATAATTATAGGAGAAAAGTCATGACTGTATTTCCAACATTCATGATCCTCCCATTTACTGGCGAGTGAATTATTAAAATATACGCCAAAATTAATTTCAAATAGCATGAGCGTATATGCAGTAGAAATGTCACTACTTGGTTCAATTACTGATGAAAATAAAAAGAAGTATTTTATGTGCTGGCAATACTTGAAAGAATGACACCCATGCAGAACTCACAAGAAGAACTGAGGGCCAGGTCGCTGATGTTGAGCCCAGTTTCTTCGATGGCTTCATTGAGGTGAATGGGGAACATGTCGCTCAAGTCTTCCCCCAGAATGTCATCCTGATGAAAATGTACAGGAAATAAATAACATGCAGCGAGATGAGCACGAAACAACAAACTGCTTTTTGGAGATCACAAGAGAAAACCGGCACCGTCCAACTACCATTATTGAGCCACAAAGCTGTTCATTCCATTTATTAATATCATTGATGCCGCTACTATGGCACAAGTCAGAGAAATCAAATAAATTTTAGCGAATACTTTGCTTACAAAGTAAACTTAAATACAAGTGAAGTAATAAACACTATCTGTATAAAAGTAAAAATATACACTGTAAGATATAAGAGTAGAAAAGCTTACTTGGTACGTCTCGGTGGCGTTGCAGTGCTCAGCGTTGATCATCGTAACGTCAGTTGCTGGTTGGTGCAACACGGGCCCGCCCGTCGCTAAACTCGGCTCTGTGGAACCTTCTCGCCGCTCTTCGTCTTCCACAAGCTCTACTGAATCGCTTACTCGACCTGGAGTGTTCGCCACAGAACTCGAAACATCTTGAGAATTTGTTTCATTGATCTTGTTACGAGATTTACTTTTTCTAGACCGTGCGGCGCGGTTGATAATTTTATCAATATTGCTACAGAAATTTCGCGTTATTGGTCTATCAGGCAACCAGTCATCATCTTCAAAGCAATCACTGCTGGAACTTCCAGACGCATGATGCTCGGCAGGAATTTTACCAGCGCGTGAATTGCGGGAGCGGCGCGTTTGGGTGGTCTTCTTTTTACCGCTATTACCTTTGGCTTTGCCTGTAGTTTTTCCAGGTGGCGACCCGGCAGAAGCGTAATTTTTTTGACCGGTTTTACCCCTGCCTGATAGCGGTATACGACAAACAGATGATTGCGAAGATTCGCGGGAAAAATCTGTTGCTGAAGTCTCCTTATTCGAGTCTTCTTCAGCAGGCACGCGCTTAGAGAAATTGGGAGTCGTCAAAACATTGGATGACTCCGCGGGGGCCCCACAGTCAGAGAGAGCATTGGATACCAAGGCGTCTAGAAGCAATGAAGTATCAAGCTGCTTGTCTTGCTGCCTGGCATTAGTAACCATAACTTCTGGATCCGACGACAAGGCTCTGCCCGCCACTTTGACGGTCTTGAATACGGGAAGACGCTCCTCGTCCAACAATGGTGCTGGCGCCTCGCACTCCTCTTCTTTGGCCAACTGTCATGGAGAATGAACGTGTTCACCGAATCTATTAATTCCAATTGATTACAAATGATAGAACAGCACACTAAGGAATTGTCACATTGGATTATTTGCTTTACAAATATCTAAAAGTTATTATCAGTATAATCACTGAAGTTGCAACATCGACAATTAAACTAAGTACTACCTGGCTCTAAGTTTAACATTAGATAAGCTAAGTTTCTCTCATTGCCATGAGTGCATTATGATTAGTAAAAATATCCGATTTGTAGGAAGAAATATTGCAGATGGTCTGGGAATAGAACAGCAAGTCAATGATCGAGCTATGCAATATATAATCAAACATTTATTTCAGCGAAAATTTTTCCATGTAATAGACCCCAATCAATTGTAATCATTGCTAAATAACTTTTAAATGCAACAAGAAATAAATCGTAGGTCAGTGCTGGACGAAAATAATGGCATCCACAATGACTGGCAGAAAGATGATCACGTCAATGTGCAATGTACATACACAAGAATGGAGAAGGAGTTACACCACATTAGAGACGCTGCTTAGGGTAGCAATAATTGGTAACATTGAATCTTCGCTTCAATGTCCCTATGCCTGTGAGACGGGAGCATCATGAAGCACTTGACGCTGAATTTGCTGCAACGCACAAGTGGGAGCCGTCTTCCAATGCATTGACATAAGAGAGCGTCAATGCAGAGAGCTCTAGTCATACCTCAAGATCTGGAAGATCAAGCCAACTCAAAGGATGATCCATGTCAATGAGGCTGACCTGCTCAGAGATTGCCTCAGAGCTTTGGTGTGAAGAAAGAACGTCACAAGCAACTTCAGCTAATTTGAGGACCTCGCTGAGGTCAGCTTGTAGTATTTCGCTGGGTACAGCAGCTGAAACGCTTGGTGAAGCAAGACATTGATTATCCGCATTGGGAGCATCAGTAATGCTCTTCAAGCCTTCTTCACACACGCTGTTGTGCAGCACACAAAACCTGTAAATTACAATTGATGAAAAGACAACCAAACAGATCTTGAATGGTTAAAAAGAAATTGAACCTCATGCTATCGGCAGAGGTGTATAAATGACAATTTTTTCTCTGAATTATTCTACTTTATACTTTGAGCGCAGAATTTTAGAAAACTTTGTTCTGCTTTCAAAAATAATATTACACTTTGGCTTAAATCGGTTGCCAATAATTGACCTTGTTGCATTTACAATCAACACCATGGTTTTTCATCTTGGTCCTTGGACATATACTTCAAGATTGCAAATTACTAATAATTATATTGAATAAGCAATTTAATGATGAGTAATATATTACACAATCATTAGCAATTGTAGCACAAACATTGCACTAATTATACAAGGAACATCACAAACAAAGCTCTTCTCAACTCTATAACAAGATTAATACATGGAATCTTCCATGCTGCAATTGTGGCAGCATATTAGACACTAGTAGGCACAAATTATAGGAATGCTACTGGTTGCATTGATGAAATTCATGTCAGCAGGGTTTAGTTAATGGAACAAGTTAATTAGTCCTTTGGTAAAACAAAGAATTCTGCCTTGAAAATTTTGTTCAAATAGCAGGAAATTTAGATTATTATGAAAATTGTAAAATATGAAATTGAAGGACAATCAAAGATATATTAGCAGCATATCATTTATGCAAAAAAACATTTTTCCAAAATAGAAGTGGAACTCACTCATCATTTTCAACTGGGTTGTAGAATAGTGGCTGGTATTCACTGTTATCAAAGTTGAAGTTAATTTCCTGTACAAAATCATCAGATTCATTGACATGGCTACTGAAGTCAGCAAAGCTGGATTCAGGGAAGGAATCTTTATCCTGTGCAACCATGGCTAGCTCCGGGTACTCAATAGTGGCATCTTCCATGACATCCTCAACCTCATCCTCGTCTTCTGACGTCAGATCATCGTCACTGCTGCTGTCTCCACTCGAGAGCTGGTGAAATGCAAGCTTACAAAATTTCAATACAAATAAAAGATCAATTTCAAAAGACAAATCAATTCCAAATCATCTATAAATGGGAATTCCAGGATGTGGATAGATTCTTTTTGGTGCAAAAATTCAGCAATATTATAATTCATGGTTATTAATCTGAGATCCATAGCCATGTTGAAACACTTCAACAATCAATGAATTTTGATATTTCTTCAATTTATTATACATGATTGCTGTGATCCATTATAGAATTCATCAAAGCTTTATGATAATTTAATAGATTCAGTGAAGCTTTAAATGTATATAGGTACTTGATAAATAGTCTTAAAATTTATACCTAGTTAGATATTTGAAATAAGATAACACTAAAAATATTTAGGTATAAATATTGACATAACACTCAGATTTCAACTTACATCATAAATGGGTGCATCATGTTGGTATGATAGCTTGAGTCCTTCCATGCTCAGATAAGACCTGAAAGAACCGTAAGTGAATTAAAGTCATATATATGAACCCATGAGCAAGAGAAGTACCTACCTACGTGTAAATAGAACAAGGAAAGTAGAGATATGTATAATAAATAGAATAAATCAGGGGCTGGCAAGGTGATTACTACTGAGCCTTGGGGGTCAATAACAGATCTAAATGAGTCAATAAATTTATGGGAGTTGGAAAAAAATCCATCAGTATTTTTTTGTTTCGTACACGGTACGTAGTTGCAGTTCATAAAAAAATTTCCACAATAAATAATAGATCTAGAAAGTCAATCTTCCCTAAAGATAGGTTAGCTTATATTCTTTTATTCCTTGCTCATTATCAGGGAAGACAGCCTTTTTCTCTCAGTATATGTGTATCTTTAAGGGGACCGCCCTAGCTAAAATTTGAAAATTTTGAGTTTTTCTGTTTCTTATCTCATCTTAAAGGTTGTTTTATTGCGCATCGAACGGTATAGGTATCGTCCCTGTATGTCGAAAAATGACTTTGTGACAGCTCCTCAAAGGGAGGCGGGTTTTAGGTCCCTTAACAAAACTCTACGAGGATAAATGACGCGCTGGTCACTCCACAAAGGAAGGCCTGTTGCTCTCATGGCAAATCTATCTCCTCCTACAGTTTTCAAGCTACAGCAATGAGACATATACCATTTGATTTGTAAAGACCAGGCCTATCGACTCTAACATCACTTTTTTGAATTTTGGTCTGGTTCGTTTTTTATATGGGGGAGAAGAGGGGGGAGGGGTGAAAAATGAGAAAAAAATGGGAAAAATAGAAAAAAATGCAATAAAAAAAAACTAGATGGAAAATGAAAAGAGGGATGTTAGAGTCAATAGATATGGTCTTTACGAATCGATTGATACGTGTCTCGATGTTGTAGGATGATATTTGTGGGAGGAGATAGATTTTCTAAAGTACCCCTTTTTAGCCGTTTTCTATGAATTTCACGTTTTCTATCAATTTTTTCGAAAAATTCATAGGAGCAAAATGTTTTTTTTTTACATTTTATGTATGTATGTGAAGTTTCATGACAATCGGATAATAACTGTAGAAGTTTTCGTATGCTAGGGCGGTCCCCTTAAACATTGATTAGGGTATTGCATAAAATTAATTTATTTCCTAAGATTTCTGATTAATTTTATCCATGAAAATGTCAATAATATAATAAATTCATTTTTCCACCACTTAGTATCATTGTGCATGCAGAAAGTGATTGTATATACAAGTGGCCTATAAATAATAATAGATTGAAAAAAAATAAGTTTGCAAACCCCTGCATTAGTCTGGCCAGTAATCAATCAACCACAAGTAGAAAACATCCAGAATTCAGTCCAGCAAGAAATTTCAAATCTAATTGTCTGAAAATTAAAGATACAAAGATACTGTAGTTTTTCTCATTATGTTTGTATTGGTTAAGATGAAACAAATCAATTGAAACTCAGAATTATGAAAACAATGTTGAACAAATTTACTCTACTGCCCTTGTAATTTATGTAAAAATAAATTCTCACAATTTGTAGGTTATCAAACCTTCATTAGAACTCTTTAAGCTATTTTTTTTTCAAGGAATTTGGGATTTCCCAGGCTAAAGGATTGTGCATGTTCTTATCAGCACCAAAAAATTGTCATAAAAATTAATACAGAACTGAACATGGCTTTGGGTACCATTTCCTGCAATTTAATTGAAAATTTAAATGAAAGTGAAATATTCAAACAAACAATCTTCAATGATTTAAGGATAACTTAAAAAAAATTATGAAAAAACCCTATGAATGTTTTCTTTGAGTCTGTGCAAGACTCATTTTTAATCCAGATCACCAAGCCAACCCATTTTAGGGGTAAACAGACCCCAAATATTCCAGATCTAGTGTTAAGTAGCGAAGAATCAATGATAGATGAGCTTCACCAAAAGGCTCCATTGGGCAAAAGCCACCATCAATCATTGCTTTTCAGTTTTAAGTGTTGTGCAGATAAGACACTTTGGAAGCGTGAACATTTGAACTTTGCTAAAGGGGACTATGATAAACTCCGTGAAGTGGTGAATGCGGTGAATATTTCTGACTGTATTAAGGACATGAATGTGGCTGATTCATGATCATTCCTCAAAGACATGTCTGCAGTTGATGCGTGTGTACCTAATATTCTGCTTGGAGGAGTCCCAGTGGATGAACAGTACAGTGAAAGCTCAGCTAAAGACCAAGGAGGTAGCCTACAAGCGTTATTTATGAACTCACAGCGATTCTGATCATAACCTTCACGCAAGAGCTTGAAATCAAGCTAACAAAGTCATTGCACTTCAGTGCACTGGATACATGCATGGATGGGACTTTGATAATAAGTTCGTGGCTCGTAAATGGCTTTTCATGACCAAAATATGGACTCTCATAGCTCAAAGAAATGGATTCATAACTCAAGGAAATGGAATCACAGCTGGCAAACCCAGATAACCACAGCTCAAACAATCCAGTCATGGCTGGCCAAGAAGATATATTCTATGCTCGAGTGGCAACTGAACACGTGAACATGAAGTCTGACCACTCTTGACGTGACCGCAGCTATGCGATCTTCAAGGAAACATTTTGGGTTGACTTGTTATTACGTTCTGCAGGATATTTTGGCAGGAGCATTAAAGTAATGCATTTTGCAACATCATTGCAGAAGTTGGAAATTTTATTAAACAACACGTTTGCAAAGTGCAAACCATGGTTTTTCAATCAAACAAATATACCTAACATCAGGGCTGCCTGGGCTGGAAAAGTCCTATTTTTTCTGAAATATCCCGGCTGTAATGTCATATAATTTCAGTAGGTATGAAAGCTCGCAGCTCCAAGTCTAATGTTATGTATTTTTGTTTGATTGAAAAAATTGGGGTTTGCACTCCGCAAACATGTTTTTCACAAAATTTCCAACTTCGGCAATTCACAATACTTTGACAATCCCACCAAAATATCCTGCACAACATAATAACAATTCAATGTAAAACGTTTCCTTGAAGTGTAGTTATGACGTCAGAGCAGTCAGACTGCATTTCCACGTGATCAGTTGCCACTTAAGTAAAGACAAATGTTTGCATTGATCGTTTTTAGGATAAAATTAAAGATTAGAGGTAACATGTGAATTGGACTTAGTAAAAAGTTTGTGGCTGCTGGCTCATACTTGGCTTCTAATGGCCAAGGTATGGAATTCACAGCTCAAAGAAATTATATCACGGCTGGCAAATCCATACAACCATGTCTAAAAAAATTCAGTTGTGGCTTCACTGGCTTGCCAAGTACCTAGGTGATGCTGATCAGCTAGGAGCTGATCAGCTGATGATGCTCAGCATTGTCTCCGCTCCCCCTAGAGACCGCCCCATGAAACCTTCACTCAAGACAAGATTCGGCCACTTGTGGCGCCTTTCCTCACTGACGGCATGATGCCAAACGGTGCCTATGGAGAGGCAAAACACTCCCTCCGTAGGGACTATCTCAGATAGCCACCCGTGTTGCGGTGAGGGCTGTTAACAACGCTGTCCTCACAGCCCCACCACCACCGATTGCAGCAGAAGAAGCCTTGCTCCCTCGCCCTTACCGCTCAGTGCTATCCCAGGTACGCTCGGGATACTGCAGCTCCCTTGCGTCCTACACCCACAGGGTCGGATGCTCCCTTAGCGCCGCTTGCCCGGACTGTGGGGATCTCCTCCAATCCGTCCAGCACCTCTTTGCCTGCCCTGCCTTTGCCATGCCCCTCAGCGTCTCATCATTGGGGGACAACCCCGTGGAGGCGTCAATGTTCCTTGCCACCCTCCCTGCTTTTGCCCACCTTCCTCCTCTTCCAGTGCTGCCCCTCCGACCGCCACCAGAGCCTCCGCCCATGCGAGCGTGACATTTGGCACAAGAAACAACAACAAGTACCTAGCTGGCTGCTGGCTACTGGCCCAGGCTGGCTACTGGCCCACTGCCTGACATTAGAGCCATGGTCAGGAAGATGTGCCAGGTGCAAGGGAATTTATTTTGTCCTTTTAACGACCTGCGCGGTGCGCCGTACTACGTTGGTAAAAAAATGCGCTGTACTTTAGAAAGCTAAAATAGTTCTACTATTTTAGTCGACAATATACGCGAGTATATTGACTACGCGAGTCGAACTGACAATAATAAAATGTAAGACATGTCCGGGTTACTTCTGACTCTTCCGGTTGTCCGCCTTGTCGGATACGGAACGTACGGTAATCGTAAACTGCGGCTGTTATACATACGAAATGTAAACAGACGGTGTTCAGTGTTGCCATATGACTTTGGATAAAATTTATTCTAAAATAAAGATGGCCGGGATTGTGCGAACATGTGCGCAAAGATAATAAATTTTCATTACATTGTGTCAACTGTGCACAGCAATAGCTTAAAAAAGTGAAAATGCGCGGGAAAATTCACCGAAAACATACATCATCCTGAGTGTCCACTGTGCAGAGAGTGGATGAATATTGAAAGATCTTTGGCGATGCTTCAGTAGCCAAATTTTTGCCTTCAGAAGATCTTGCCGACACATTTAGATTGAAATTTTTGCATTTAATATATTTCTCAGTCTTCGGCCAACTATTTAGAAAAAAAGTAAGGTTTCCGGTACGTTGGATGGATTACAATGCAGCGAAGCTTGTCCGGAAATCAGTTGCAATGAGTTCCCGCAAAAATGTAAACAACGTTTTTTCGATTGCGTAGTTTCGGTCACATTAGAGCAGTCGCCAGTCAGACTACTTTATTACATGTTCAGTTGACACTTGCTGTACAATCGGACTGTTTTTAGGGTAAAATTAGTTATTTGGGGTAACATGTGCATGCAACCTTGTAGGGTAAACGCGGTATATTCCGACATCGTAGGTAATTCCGTCACTTTTCTAGTTTTTCCTTTATATTAAGCTTTGTTTTAGTTCCATGCGTTCATTGATGGTTGAAATGGTGACGTCATACATTTGCGTGTCGAAATACTGCAAAAACACTAGGTCTTGGCCATCTAGTGGGAAAATATTGAGATCCAAAGAGAGACAAGGCATGCCACGTGGTGAGATCATCGAAAAATGTGTCAAATTTGACAGTTGACATGGCTCTACCAAATAGTAAACTGTACATATTTTAAAATTGAGTTGTTATGAGACCATAACTGAGAAAATGTTGCTCAATGGGTTAGTCCAGTCGTAAATGAGACTTTCGTTATTCCCTTCCTCCCCCCCCCCCCCCCCCGCTGAGCCGGACCGGTCGATGCTCTTGCGAACGCATAAGTACTCACAATAATTCCCTGCCACCATGCTTGCAATAACTTCATGGTAGGGGACTAGGGGTCCTTAGTTAGCTAGGTCCATATGTTTCAGTAGGCTTATTTAGGCCAGATAAATTTCCTAAAAAATTCAAACATCCAGGAAGAGTGGCTTCCAGTCTTTGCAATTTGCATTAGCTATTGCTGAGTCAGTGAGTCTGCACTATGGCCCAGCCTGCCAGGCAGCAACTGTGTTATTATTTTAGTTGCTTCATTTGCTAAGTTGCTTGATCAGTTGATGCTGTTTTACTTCTGCTTCAAGCCTTCAACGGATTTGACTAGGTATGTTAAATCCAGAAGAATTTCATTGCAGTTTTCTGATATGTAGGCTAATTTAAGAATAACTAATTCATCACTTACATAGTACAGTGCAGTAATGGGGTATACCTCTTAATCTCACTGTCTTACAGACACAGAGTAAATAGAAACGGCATTCTACTGTATTTTCTGCTTTACAGTCAATAACAATGCTTGCATTCAACTCGTCAATTTTTGCAAGTGGTAAAATAGGTAGATCTTCTGAATTAGATAAAATTGGTCGCAAATTGTATAATATGAATATGATACAATTTTCATAAATTAGATGAACGAAATTACAAAAATGTTTACTAGTTGTCCGTTCAAGTTTGTTGCAACTGATACGTACTACCGCGCTATTATTGGCAATCTAGCCACATGTTCCATTCACCGCATGTTTTTAGTTTCCACCACTGATAATACTGAATATCCATATGTCTACAACGGGAGTATCTGAAGTGGATTTTTGACAACTTGGTTGATGACAGCATGGTTGAACTATTACTAATAGTTAAACTAATGACTAGAGTAAAACAGGAAATACTCAAACTTTTTTGTAGAGCCTATGAACGAATAATGTAATGTTTCGGTCATGTAATATAATATATGTACGTTTAAAATTAGCGTTTAGTCATGCAAATTGAATACGATGATAGAATAAAGAAATTGAACCAGATTTTCTTTCATCGCTCCATTTGTCTTGGATGTCCATGACGTCGTTTTTACTGATAAAACTATATTGATTACTCGAATATGTTTTGTGTTTAACATGTATTTTACTAGTTTCTAACTCGTTAATTAAAGAAGTCGTGTTACTAACCTCCGAGGTTCCTTGATCGCTCAAATGGAGAAATAATTTAGTCTACATTACTAGTATTGTCCCTTAATTACTCTTTTGTTCGGTGACTGAATTCACGGCATGACCGGGAAAAAAACTTGAATGTAAGAAACGAATATGATTAAACAAATAATTAGTAACACATAAGATTAGCATTATACGGATTATGCCTGCAGCCACTTGCACGACGCTCTCGCCGATAACTTGCACGACACACTCACCGATAACTCGCACGACACACTCACATTTAACTCACACGACACACTCACCGATAACTCGCACGACACACTCACCGATAACTCGCACGACTCACTCACCGATAACTCGCACGACACACTCACCGATAACTCGCACGACACACTCACATTTAACTCACACGACACACTCACCGATAACTCACACGACACACTCACCGATAACTCGCACGACACACTCACCGATAACTCGCACGACACACTCACCGATAACTCGTACGACACACTCACCGATAACTCGTACGACACACTCACCGTTAACTCGCACGACACACTCACCGTTAACTCGTACGACACACTCACCTTTAGTTAACTCGTACGACACACTCACCTTTAACTCGCACGACACACTCACCGATAACTCGTACGACACACTGACCGTTAACTCGCACGACACTCACCAAAACAGATTTGATCGGATTCTCATACATTTAGATCACCCAAAGTCCAATATTTTGCAACTTTATACCTTCTTCCACAACTAGCGTTAACCTGATTTACAAATTTTTGATGCATAATTAGGAGATAAGTTTCACGTGATGTGATCATCCGTCATCCGCGCGGAGCTCGTGAGTCACAGCTGGCAGCCTGGCTGTCGGGTGCCGCTGAAGGAGCGTAGAAGTTTGCAGAAGTTTGGGCCTTCTCTCCTTCTTTTTCTTTTTAATCTCTCATCCACTGCTCAATCTTGCGAGCAATTCGAAAATGACAATTGCTTTGTGATAAAGTGTTTAAATATATCAGTGATAAGTATAGTTGAATTTTAGAAGAATTATTTTCAACCACTCAAGCCATAGTGTACCTTTCGACCACTCAATGACGCAACTGAGCAACACAACCCATAGCTATACCAAGTTGATGTATAGTGTATGTTCAGTCAGAAATTCAAAGTTACTTTAGATCTTATTTCATGAGTTACCAATGTTCATAATTAATAATTCATCCGCCTGGATATATGTATAATTTAATATTATATCAGCAGATATTTTTAAATTCTATTAAAGAACTCTCTCCATTTCACCATTCATGAGAAAGAATAATTTCTGTTCCGCCATTCATGCAGGGCTCTGAAGTGTAGGTATTAACGTCAAAGTTGGTCTAAATAAATAACAACTGACATTTTCAGCTATCGATTATCTTGAAAGAAGAACGTGGGACTTCATGGATATTATAAATAGGCAAAAGACAAAATGGACTGATTCAAACTTATATTTTTAGAAAACTTAAATATTCAGCGGCACTTCTCGAACGTCCAATGTTTAGCTGCGCTTTAATTTTCCCAATGCCCAAATTTGATTGCCCGAAAAATGTCTAAAAATACAGGGTGCGGCGCGGGAACTTACTTATTTGAATTGCGCGCCACGTGGCGGCCATTAGTCCTAGGAAGGTGGCGCCATGCGCAATATGGTGCGCGGGCTATGAAGTTTTTCGTCCACTCAGTTCAGTTGCGACCATGCAGTGGTCGAGAGAGGAGCGCGCGTTCGCAGTCTCTGTGTACTTTTCTAGTGGCCGGTCTATCGTTGCAACCCAGCGTGCGTTTAGGAGGCAGTTTAATGTCGCGCCCACTGGTCGTGTTCCTGGTCGTACATCAATCGTTCAGTGGGTGAATACTTTTATGAATACAGGCAGTGTGTNACACAAGTATTGAGCTGCCCTAAATAGAAGTGTTCTGCCTGGCGCACGTGTTAGCAACACAAGTATTGAGCTGCCCTAAATAGAAGTGTTCTGCCTGGCGCACGTGTTAGCTACACACAAGTATTGAGCTGCCCTAAATAGAAGTGTTCTGCCTGGCGCACGTGTTAGCAACACAAGTATTGAGCTGCCCTAAATAGAAGTGTTCTGCCTGGCGCACGTGTTAGCTACACAAGTATTGAGCTGCCCTAAATAGAAGTGTTCTGTCTGGCGCACGTGTTAGCTACACAAGTATTGAGCTGCCCTGAGCAAGTTCGGGGGTATGCGTCAGGATTGCACAGGGTGACCGGTTAGCTGCCCACCTAGCCACCAGGCAGGGTTTTTTGACTGTAAAAAAAATAAACATGGTTAATAAAAGTGGAGTAAGAAGAGAATTTAAGAAAATTTTAATACATCAAATTGATTTTATGGTTATGACTTTCCTATTATCATACTGAATGGAAGCTACCAAGAAAATATCTCTTAAGCTTTCAATAACATACTGGTATCCCATGTATGTATGCGGTCAAGCCTGCAAAAACTCACATCTATTACAGTCATAAAAATGCACCCATTAAAATTTTTCATACATAATACTAGGGCCCCCTAACTTGCCCTACAGTCATTCAGGGTCACTGCTATTTAAATAAAGTTCACAGTGTTTTTTAACTGTTTAATGTTAGTCCTACCTAAGCTTTAGGTTTAATTTCAATTTTAGCGTTGGACTTAGTTTACATACTGTATCTTCTTAAAGTAAAATAGAAATAAAACCTAAATTAGTCTTCAAAAATAATAATTATCATAATATCTACAAATACTGTGCTTTTTGAGACTACAACTTCATGTTTGATATGATTTTTTGTGTTGACCAACTCACGAGTCCATAAAACAAATTTAAAAATATTAGTCTTCACTAGAAGCCAACAATTAAGTGTGTGGAAGCAGAGACTTTTAATAAAAAGTTTATTAATAAATAATAAAGTTAAAGTTAATAGACTAATAAAGTTAATAGATTAATAATAAAAGTTAAAGTTAATAGACTTTTGTTCATTTTGTCATATTTTGGCTCCATTAATTGTATCGAATCTAAAAATGTCGAACAAAATAAGGCTGGTAGTGAAAAAAATCAAACCCATTGGTAATGTATTAATCTTAAATGCAAAAGGCAATTATTTGAAATGTTTTTTTTCTGTGCATGCCATACGTTTTTAAGATCAAGTGTTTTTAGCGCATTTTCTCATTTATGGAAAAAGCGCTATTGTGCTCGTCATGTCCGTCTGTCCGTCCGTCCGTTCGTCTGTCCGTGACTTCACGTTTTCGTCGACGAGAAAATGAGCTCACTGTCACTCACTGCAGTGAGTACTGAGTTATATTTTTCTTAATCTCGCATAATTAAGCTTATTAGTTGAAAACAACTAGCAATATAATCCTGCCAATTTGTGAGGAGCCTTTAGGTTTGGCATAAATTCTGAAGTGCCAAATTCGATTCTTCAAAAACACAAATAAATAAAAAAAACTTAAAACCGGGTTTTCAAAGGCTTGCACTATTTGAGTTTTGAGATAAAGGAAAACAGCAATGACCATGGTTAATTATTTCAATACATATTTTTATCAATTGATGCTTAATCCCTGACTTGAATGTTGCTGTTTTAAAGTGATACATCAAGTTACCAACTGGCTCACTGTTTAAAAAATTGCCAAATATTGAATGAAAGTTGTGAATAATGTAATAATAAATGTGGATTCTCTCCAGCAACAAATTTCTAATACCCCGCATAAATAAGTGATAAATTTAAAAAAATTATTCATTTATTTTTTCGAGTTTATGCTCATTTTCTCATTTATGGAAGAAAAGGCGCTATTGTGCTCGCCATGTCCTTCGGTCCGTCTAACTGTCCGTCTGTCTGTCTGTCCGTGACTTCACGTTTTCGTCGAAGAGAAAATGCGCTCTTTGTCATTCACTGCAGTGAGTACTGAGTTATATTTTTTAATGGAACCCCGGGTGGGTTGCGCAATTTAAAAAAAAAAACCTGGCTTTTCGCCACCCTAGACTATCGCAAGCTTCTACGCATAACTCGTTATGGTACGGTTAATGTGATCTATTCAACAGATCTGTGATCAACAGATCTGTAATCTGTTGATCCTTCCAATCGAAATCAGCAAAGGTCAGTATCTCATTACCTGCTTTATAATCTCCGGAGAGTATGACAAAAGTGGGATTGGCCTACAAGCCAAGACTATCGGGCCTGCGTGCTGACAAAATCAAGCCCAGTGCTGAATGCCTTAGGACGTTCAATCACGAGCATGCCCAGTCGTTGCTCGCACGCAACGACTCGCGAGTCGCGATGGCGTCGGTGCTCGTTAAACGAGGCGTGTTGTTACACAAAGCACCGTTTTATATCTTTATTTTGTCACATCACTTGAATATTTCTTTCTCTGTTGGCGTATTTGCTGTGATCCCTACTTCGCGTTCTGCTTGCGCGTCCAGCGATCTGCGACTCCCAAGTGCTTTCAAGTTTGTGAGTGACAGGCCTAGGGGTTTTCATATTAAGTTGCTTAAGACATTAAGATGTACGCTAAACCTAACTCTCTCAAAAACCTAACTGATATATAGTTATCTTATTTTTACATCCAAACT